CCGGGTATGCGGGCTGCTATAATAACATAGTCCCAGGGAGTGGTCTTATAAATACCTCAATCCAACAAGGAGCCGCCTCAGTCACGAAAACAATAGAATGTTTTCCTGGCGTGAACCAATTCCTTTTCTTGGGATCCTGAGCTAGAATGTACCCCGCATTCAATTTCCATTCGACATCAGAATGGCGGTAGGAATGTCTCCTTGCTATGTGCAGTGGCTTGAAAGTCGACTGTTGCACAGGCCAGTGCTCTAATCCTGCCAGACGAGTTTGTAAGCGACTTTAGAGAGATGGGAAACCTAATTGGACTATGCGAGTTTCGGTTCGGGATTCGAACCCGAACCGACCATGTGGGTGGAAGTGCGCCATTTTCCACTAAATAACCTTCGCCCTTGGTTATGTCAAAACTGGCAAAGTCAAGGAATGTATGTGTTTAAGCTGCTATGTATTACATCCCTTTTATTCCTACTTCAGACAATACCTTTTTGAGAATCAGATGAAGATCGTGCTCAGGAGAAGTAGTCAGTAGGGGATTTATACTAAAGGGTTTGCCCTCTTTTAGTTGTCCTTCCTTCTGTAATCTCATCACCTTGACCCCTCCTCAGAAAGCTTTTTATTTGCAGACCCCATTCATTGCTCCCATGCCATTCTATCATCTGCTTTATGATGGAGTGACCGTTTTTCAGCCGATTCATGGCCACGTTCCTTGGACGACTCTGGAGCGAAGAAAGACTGGGGATGGCATGTCGAGTACGGACTGGACGAGACTGTTGAAGTGATGTTTGCTCTGCTTCAACGAGAGGCCCAAGCAAATGCCAACGTGAATTCTGGAAAAACGCTGAACACAAACAAAGGAGCAAGCTGAATTCATCAACATCGGCAAGGCATTTCGATTTTTCTCAACTGAAAACTGGTCACTTCACAACTTTACCATTTCTGTATGATAAAATTGCTATATTATTACTAGCCCTATAGTATTGTATTCGCATAATGTGATTATTTATATTTCTATTTAAAAAATAAGGTTACCTTTATTATGTTACCGATTGGTTTCAATTCGCTTCAAGCGCTATTAGCATTGTTTCATGAGAAAGTAGTTATGGCTTCTATTTGGTGTCAGATGTCAAGCTGAAAGCTTCAAGTGTTGGTTATTCTCTTCCCATAATGGCTGTGATGGGGTTACTTCAATAAATAGTAGTCTTCGTTCTCACTGTACAAGTTCCAATCCCATTGCTACTGTCGCAGCATATGTTGTGGGCTTTTGATGCTGCTTTAGATACAAGGTGACTATCTCACTACCTTCCGTCCGGTATTTTTCTGCGAGTGAATCGCATTTTCGACGAAACTTCTCCCCGATTGCGGCATTCTCCCTTGCGGCATGCGGCAAATGTCACTGCAACTACCGTACTCCTCCCGCCTCCCCACCAATCGATAGGACGCGGAATTTTTCATTTATTGCGCTTCTTTTTTATTAGATTTGATCGTTTTTTCTATTTCTTTTTCATTTTTATGTTTATTAGACCTGATTATTAGAATGACTCGTCCTATGTAAGCGACGATCAAGACTGCATTGAAATTGAAGAGAGCGGTCAGCCAATTCAAACAATTAAAGGACTCCTACCTTACAAATTGCGCGCTCCAATCTGCCATCGCAATCCTGCGATACGCGGGGGGTGCGGCGTGCACGACGCAGTCTTCAGGGAGGAGTTCCTGGACCCGTATTATGGAGCTTATCCAGGGGTGATACGCCTACCGGTGAATGGGATTCTAGGAACCGAACTGTATGCAATGCAGTCGTATTCCTTGCTTCAATGAAGGAAGAGGAAATGGTGATTTCACCGCGGTATACGACCTACTGATATCTGGCGCTGTATGGCAAAGGAAACCTTACCTATAGCCGTGTCTGGCACGAATTTGTTGCAAGCCACCAACTGTATACCGAAATCATTCCCCAATTCTTATCATCTCGGTACTCAGGGTTATCGTTAGACGAAACATCCACTCTACTAACTATGGACGCCATCCAATTTTCACAGCTATAGGAAAAAACAACATAGACCTGATATTCTGACTCTAAAAAGGTGCTCAACCTAAACAACAGAATTTTTCTTTATGCAACAACAAGTTACGATGCACTTGGGCCTGCAGCAAGAATAGTACTGAATTTTGTAGGTGAGGAAGGACAGTTGAAAAACCCAATCGCTTAGGCACTGAGATGGTGATCAGATTCCCTCAGGCCATGATTTTTCGTGATAACGGTTGGTACGTTATAGTTACAGTTAGGGTGTGGAATGGACCGTGGGACATCGGGTATACACTAAGCTTGACTGCAAAATGGCCCATTTGACGATGACGGGGCGGGCAAGAATGACGTCTGCTCCAACCTCACTTATTCCCTCTCGCTTTTGCACAAGAGAGAGAGGGGAGAGTGGATTGGAGTAAAAGTTACCCATACCAGCTCAGGAAAATGGACTTCCATTAGCACACCAAAGGTGTAGGCTGGTTCTCTGGCGACAGAGTGAACATAGAATGAGACCATACCTACAGCTAATGAATCAGTTGAAGTGATAATCACAAGAGATATATTTTTTACAACATCTTCGATGTTATCACAAAGTTTGTGAAAATCTTATCCGGTAGAAGTTAGAGCAGTTAAACACCAGTCTATAAACAATAAATTCAATTTCCCATGGCAGTGTGCATCAGACGGTATAACATCGTACAGCCAGTTGTCTGCTATAGCGAAGACCTCGAGAAGAAGCCCACGCAGCAAATGTCCTGCGGATGGTCAGAGAAGTCTCCAAGGTATGACATAAGCTTCAAAGAACAATCTTCCTATGCGCCACACATAGCTAAACTTCTCACTACGTTATACGCAAACGACAAACGGTACTAAGCCTTTTGTACCTCTTCATTGAGCAGTACTGTATTAATAGCCGACATACGGTAGAGTACAGCTGCAAACAATACTGCAATCAGAATGGATGACCTTTCAGAGTATTGTGAAGTTCAACTTTGTCGAAACGATTGTATTAATACTTGTAACTCTGACGATGCTGAAAGCTGGTGCAGATAAATGCCTAGAATTTCCCGACAGCGAGAGTGAATCCTATTTCGGGGTAAGTTCAACGTCGCAATCGTTTTTACGAATTTTCCGATGGTTTTACGATATATAATCAAACTCGTATAGAGGTATATGCGCGTCACACTGAGTGAATTAGTTCAGATGAGTCGAGAGTGTTTAGAGATTAAAGGGGTTTTGGGTCGTAGCACAGGAAGGAAGATCCTCTCGAAGAATGGAAGTGATAATAGCTGATAAAGAGTAAGTGGAGTAAAAAGCCATTTACCATTCAGACCATTGTTACAGTGCCTCTGATGTTAGGGGGGAAAAGAAAGGAGAGAGAGAGTCAATCGTTGGCGTTTTTGTAGAACTTGGCGTTTGAAGAGCCCTTTGCCGAATTAAAAGATTTGAGGGCACACTTTTGAAGCATCAGGTGAATAAACAAGCAACTAAACACAAAGAAGCGAAGGCCGTCAAAGTACGTACTCGTTGTTCAGCCGAACTATGGGTGCGTAATAAAATTTGAAACAAGGGAAGGTGGTTGTTCCATGAAAATCAGAATTGCTAAGACTTATTCAGTGAGTTTATTAGCTATGCCGGCAAAGTTCATGACAATGTAGGGGACGACTCAAACGTTAGATTCATAGAATCTGGGGACCTGCTCAGGTTATTGGCCCCCTAATGAACAACTTGTAATTTAAAAAAAATCGGCCTAGGATTACGAATATTTGCTACCGCCTGGCATAAATACCATGAATGGCTACTCGTTTGGATTCTCTGATCAATCTGGAAATGGCACAGGAGTGATTTACTGCAAACATTCTGGATGTATCACACAATTACTGGATGAGGTAGGTGTCTAAAATGGGCACCGTACCCTGGAGAGTTGGTAACCTTTTCGGGAAATTCTTTGATTTGTAGCACCGTGAAACACACGCGATGCATGGGACACGTAAGCGGTGCATGGGGCAATGGGCGTTGGGTTGCTGATTGCATATGTCTGCAAACCACCCTACCAACCTTCCAGGATCGGTTAATTGGTACCAGACTCGTCTGGGAGGAAAGGAGCACAGACGTGTACAACGGCTGACCACCGCAAGCCACTGCATACGCCACAAACCCATTCTATACACCACTACGATTCTGACAGAAGTCGAATACGGGGCGCATCCCAAAACAAAATCGATCAACGCCAAACAGAAAAGAACTTAGCATGCTCCTTTCGAAACAACTTGCTTTTCGAGCGAATGGGCATTCTAATAAAGAAGAAGAGCGGACATTTCATAGGATAGGGAAGATAGGTCGTTGTTTAAACTATTCAGAATTCAGGGCGTCGACTTGTTTGAAAAAGAACGCTTCAGAAAATGTTTCCAGTCGTCGCTTTGTGAGTATAACTCCCCTTTCACTGAAAAAACCGCTTCCCCAATCATTACCATTACAGCTTCTTACTTGAATAAATACTTTCCCGGCAATGACAAACCAACGGCTAGTAAACAAGGTAGCTTCCTTTATAAAGAATGACATCTGGATGGGACATTATATCCACTTCCCACATATATTTAAGTACCAACCACGGAGTCCCAAGAGCCAACCACAGAGTTCGAAAGTTCCGGTCACTAAGTCAAAAGGATCAGAGCCAGGAGAACCACGGCACTGAGTCTGAAAGACCAGTCACTGAAACAGAAGGACCAGTCACTACGACTGAAGGGCTACTCACGGAGTCTGAAGGACCAGTTACTGAGTCTGAAGGACCTGTTCCCAAGACAACGACACCGTATTACCGCACAGAAGCACCCACCAAAAAGAGATCAAGTAAAAGGACAACAAAAAGAACCAAAAGTAAGTTTGATAGCCGGTTACACCCAACTTGTTAATAGGTTCGATTGCAGAAGTAACTAAGAAAAAACAGAGAACCACGACGACAGAATCTGGTACTACGACAGCTACATCAGTTACAGGAGAGATACTGGAGACTTGGTTGTTCGTTGAAAGCTTTCAATAAGGGATACAAGGGCATTTGATATTAGTGATCACATATACACTAGAACAAGTTGAGAGCGGGCCTTCCTGTGGAGGCCTGCATTCCTGTTTCTTAAAGCTGACTGTGTCCTTCGAAAGGATTTTTCGACTGTCGCCCACTTATCGTCCTTTACTGCCACAGCAGCACGATAGTAGACAGTTACTACACCAGACTAAACCTAAATGTATCCCTGAGCAGCTGGGGACCCAAGTCACTTGGAACGTCTTATAAGTAAAAATAGTAGTGGGAAGTAGAAACGTACAGCTTGTTAGCAAAAAAACTTGTAGACTTCCATTTTTGTTCTCGATACAGTACCAATCCCTCATACCCTCCATGAATACATTTTGGGAAGCTATATCTCTCACAATAAGGGGATACTGGTTGGCACAGCATACAGCTAATTTTGAGTGACCATCTTTGAGTTGAAAAGCGGAAATGTTGGTAGAGACCCACCTAAGGCGTTCGGTCTTGAAGCTGGCCGGCTTATAGTACATGAAGATATTGCAGAGAAGAACCTGGAATACTCTACTACGTCGTGTCGGGACTACTGGCAGCTTTTCCGGGAGTTCAAACATGGCTGTACTGCTATTTAACTCATGTTAAAAAGGAATATGTTTTGTTACTACGAAGTGTACTTGAAGACGAAGACATTGAAGGGAACACAACAACCGGCGGCGTGGGAACAACTTCAACAACACGAACTTCCACCGAAAAAACAGGAGTCTGAAGCCTTACAGAGGGAACTCGTATTCCTTTCTCATTACTCTGTTACCACATACCTTAA